TTCAGCGCTCGGCAAGCCGTTGCCCACGTTCAAGATGCCGTACCAGCTGATGTTGCTGTTGGCCATTTTGTTCGAATATTTGTATCAATGTTTTGGCCTGGAACCCTTATTTACAAGATTGGAAGTGAATCTTATGTCAATAACCAATACATATTCAATCGAACGGGCTCAGCGTGATCTCAGTTATCAGCCAACCGAGAACCATGACCTGTCTGATGTTATAAATTATCACAAAGTGTCGGACAGTAATGTTTATGACAGCGATCCCAAGAATACGGTACCAAAGAAGCATGTAAATGTTGTTTTACACAATGGCACTGGTTTCTTCGTACTTGTGTCTTTTGTGATATTGTTTTGGATCGCAAACTCTTTGTTTTTGTGAAGCCGCTTTACACTACTACACGGTAGATCAAAATAACTGCAGAAATTGAAGGGATTCCGAATTTTAAATTCATCAAAATTACTTTTGCTTGTTAGTAGAAATGGCGCCTCTTACTGAAAATGATTCATCCCAAAGGATATGCATCGTGCGCCATCTTCAGTCCCCCCTCTCCCCTTCCTCCTCATTACTCTTTTTCCTTTTGTATGTAAATTTGAAAATTATGAGCAGTTGTTAGATGCAGTATAAGGGCCAAGGTTTGCAAAAATGCGTGATCGCTTCGGAAACCTCAATGTCCACTGCTATCTGATTGTGAACTGTTGTCAGCAGAAGATCAGACATGATTACTCCATCAGAAGTCAAAACTCCTTCCGTATTCACTGTATTTGAAAAGTAGTTAGAAGTAACCCAAGCGGTAGCAACTGTCAGCAGTAACTGTAGTTAACAAAAGCTACATCCCTATTATTAACGATTTTTGTTACGGCTCTTCCTTCTGAAAGATGCTACCAGTAATACTGCTTGTGGTCGATTTTGTTGTTGTTTGTTCTGTTGATTGTGATCAAGAGTGTTCATCGTGATCTCCTTTTCTATATTGTCCTGGATTGTTGTGGTTTAATTTTTTCAGCGATCGGTCCCATGAAGTAAAAAATCATTTTTAAAACAACTGACTCAAAAAACAACAACTAACTCAAAAGTCCAAGTCAAAATCGAAATCCCATCCGTATTTACTGACTTCAAATATTGCTTAAATTATGACTAAAACTAGAATAGGAACCCAGGATGGAACGCACCAGGCGGGCCGGTGCGATTATGCGTTTTTGCACTTTTCGTGCCGTAGCAAGATCGCAAGGAGTTCCTTGTGAAATACTGGCCCTCGAAGTTCGGAAAGTTAATTGTGCAGCTATGTGGTAGATGAGTTGTAGGTGTCGACTTCAGTGACCCGACAAAAAGTTGTTGATCCCAAAAAAAGGTCACACTAGAAGAGTTAATTTTAAAATCTTTTAGTCGCACATGAGCAGGAAACATTCCCTTAAAATTAAAGCCTTCAGCTTTTCT